TATTTGTAGATACAATCACACGTTGTCTGTTTGTCGATGTTTTGCAGGCCAAAGCTTAAATCTTTGTAGAATGTTCTAACGAGGGAACGTTCCTAAGTGATTAAAAGCTTTTGAGCTCATATGTTACCCATTAGGTAGAGGACCACTAGATTAGAGAAACCTCCAAAGGATTCGTGTCCATATTGAGATTTGACAGAGATATCGAATTTTTAGTGGATTTTTCCTGCTGGACCCTAGTTCTACAGCAAAATCATATTTTCGAATTTCGATCTGAAACTTTCCCCAAATGAAGGCTTCGATTAGAGTAGCTTATATAGAAAATTTCAGAATTTTTGGATATTGCATTTCCAAGGTATCAATTTTTGAAAATATAGGCACTTTTCTATATATAACATGGATACTTTGAAAGATTGATACCTTGGGGATGCAATGTCCAAAATTTCTGAATTTTTTTATACAAGCTACTCTAATCGAGGCCTTCATTTGGGCAGAGTTTCAGGTCGAAATTCGAAAATATGATTTTGCTGTAGAACTAGGGTCCAGCAGGAAAAATCCACTAAAAATTCGATATCTCAGTCAAATCTCAATATGGGCACGAATCCTTTGGAGGTTTCTCTAATCTAGTGGTCTTCTACCTAATGGGTAACATAAGAGCTCAATAGCTTTTAATCACTTTGGAACGTTCCCTCGTGAGTTAAACCAATATCCGAACCGGAATTAGCCTCGGAAACTGTTAGCGTTAACAGATGTTATGTTGTTGCCGCTAACCCTTTTCATTCTTCTTTACGTAACCTATGTGAGGTTCGATGTTTCCCCAACATATACATTTATGTCTATATTACTCCTTTCTCTCTCTCCCTCTCTCTCGCTCACCTATATGAACAAGTTTTCCCCAGTAGTTCAGTTGTTTATTTTTGTTGTCTGGGTCTCCTGTTTTCCTTGAATAAAATACATATTCATCATCTGAACCTATATTATCTTCTGTATTATATCAATCTATAAATTAAAGTAGGATAACTAACACTACTTACCTAGCTAATAAAGATCTTAGTTTTCTAGTGATTTCCTCCGACCTATTAACATTGAGTGGGTAGAAGATTTGGATGAAAGAGAAAACTAACAGAAACTGAATTGATTGATGTATCTTTCAAATATCTCTGAGAATTTTCATTTTTTCCGAAAATTGGTCCTCTGTTCTCCGTTAGGGTATTCTCAAAACAAAGTAATTTCTCGTAAAAATGTTATTTGCTTCGCGGAATGAACTGCTATCACTTCTTAAATAATACTGTAACTGACATGATAGACAGCGAAGCGGTAAAAACTTCATTCTGGTAGAAGACCCTTGTTGAGGGTACCCTGAGGGGGAGTATGAAGAAGATTTTCTAGAAAAATGAAAGTTCTTAGAGATGTTTGAAAGATACAAAAATCGACTCTGTTTTTAGTGTTGAGCTCGAATTATTATCAGTTTTGGCCTTTACCGATCTTGTCTTTACGAAAAAAGAACGCTCACTACCAGCCAAAAGTGGGCAGAAACATGAAAAAACCGTCCCCAAAGCACAACATGACTAAAAATTTTCCTAGTGTCCAAATGCTGTAGACTTTCAAAATATACGGTTTTTCTAGCTTTTCGAAAGACCTATCCAACGAGCCGTGCTTGAATTTTTATGATAAAATATTTGTTGAAAAATAGGAGTTGATCATAAATATAGGATCTATATCAACAGTGTCTAACAGTATACAAGGCTTCTCCCCATTGGATCAAATAATCACTGATTCATTCATATATAGGATTGAAATCCTATTAAAACACTATCTAATACTGAATTTGTACAGGTATCTTTTCTTTTGAATTTATTCTAACAATAACTTGACCGTAATAGAGTAGGTTATTGGACAACTGACCAAAAAGTGAGCTGCTTCGTTAATGGCTTTTTTGTTCCAATAGTTCGGTTAAAACCTCACGAAGATAGTGTCGAAATGTTTGTTTCAACATGCTGTTAGTATTGGTATAAGATTCAATGGGGTTGGACAAAAAAACTCCAAATGGGTCGAACTGGCTTCTAATATGCCCCCTGTCTTTTGAGCGTTGAACTGTTCAAACAGCGGTTTTGACATTTTGTTATTATAAGAGGACGTGAAAGACAATATGATAGTTTGTAAAATCTTGTATGACTTTTATTCTACTAGTTGAGATCTATCTGGATTTAAATTTTCAGACTAATCCATCAATTGTTTCACTAAAAAATTCCCGAAATATGAGCTCAGAACTGTTAAAAAAGCTTATAGATAAATGTCTTTACTCTCTAAGGAATGAGAATGGAAACCGGCTGAGTAGCCCTATATACCAGAAGATAGAGCGAGCGACACTCTACAAAACCTAGTATACCACCTTTCATCCAAATTCGGAAGAGATTTTTTATTCGAAGATTAAGTTTGCGTAGCAGTGAAATTATTGGGCCTCCATTAAAAGTTTCAGTTTTGGAAGCTGAACAACTTGGCTCATATGTGGTTCGATAGATCTGAACGCGGGCTATCAGAATATATATAGGATGTTTTCTTTTAGTCCTAAAATTAAAAAGAAAATCTTCGCGCAAAAACCAGAACTTTTCAGTTTGACGATGGTTTTCCCGAAATTTCGAAAATTGTATTTTGCTTATTTCAACCAGAATCTATATTCAAACATTTAACAATTTATTACCAAAGCGATTAGCTCATCGAGTTCTACAAATCCTGAAAGTTTCAGTTGATTCTGAGAAAGTCATGTATAAAGTGGTACGTTTCCCATGGATTCACCCTTTTGTATTTTGGTACTATTTGAAAGAAAGATACCCATTAAGTCTAGCGCCTTTCAAGAATGACTACATGAAAACTGAGTGACAGTTCAAGTGAAATGAAAGTCAAGTAGTCGCGCAAATTTTGCTAAAGGTTCCATGCTCCAGGATGCCGTATTCTGGATGATATTGGAATCTGAAGTGCCAAAGAATGGTCCTGTTACAGCTTTTTTAGTTTAGATTGTATTAGGTCAACTGAAGCTCTTTCTAGCACTGTGAATATGTCGATATCTGACAGATTTGTAGCAAGCCTATGCCATTATGTGAGAGAAAAAGAGGTTGAGATTGTGAGCGAATGCTGTAAGAAAATTTGTTGAGAGGAAAAAGTTAGGTAAACAACACGTTGAGCTTTAAGATGGAGCCAGAGATGGAGCCAGTATCTTTTACTAATCTGCTTGACCTTTTCAGACTAGTGCCAGTAGCAGTCGTCAAAAATTCAGACTGGTTCCATCACTATATTAATTTTATCGTACAACTAGGCACATTAAGTCTGTCAGGTGATAAACCATATTTTCCGTATCTAAGCCAGAGACCGGAATGGGGACGACTTTTCGCTCCCAGCTTCGTTTCGCTACGGAAAACTTCTCGTCACAAGCCTAAATATTTTTCTATTCCCATCCCGTCGTGTCTTTACAGTTTATTTTTATTACATTAGTGTGAAGTTTGTTTTTGAATATGTGTGTCGGCGAACACAACACACTATCCACACCCACACCCAAATATTTGATGCGGTTTGCTGTGCATCCACCCTATATCTGACTTCGTTGCGAAGATAGAATTTTGCAGCGCCGAGACTAAAGACTCATGGAGTCATGTTTTTCTAACTCCAATTCTGACTCCGAATTGTTTTAAAATGATACCGACTCCAAAAAACTTCGAAATTCTTTTCTATCAATTGACGATAGCTTACGTGTGAGACAATATTATATAATGCGAATAGATAGATATGTGAGTGCTTGACAGAAAAGAAAAAGTGATTGAATCTCAATTTTTTTCTTTGTCAATTATACATATTCTTAATGAGTGCTAAGCTCTCGTTATGAGAAGACATTCTGAATCTAACTAAACAAGAAGACGATTCTGTTAAAATTGTGCCGAAAAAAACTAAATACAAGTGAATTTTAGAATAGTTTCCATCCCGTTTTCATCAGCAACAACTTTATGAGAAAAACTTTGTTTTACTGGAAAAATTTCGTCAGATCAAGAGGAGACTAACCAAGAGATCAAGTTTTGATCCAGTTTTAATTACGTCAGAATATTGAAGTGAAATAGTGGTTTAAAAAGCACGTAAAGATGATGAAGATATTGAGTGGTGCTGATCGTTTTTTGAACATAGCCATTTTTGAAAGTTAATCTAGTGTAGATGTCTTTTTGTTTTATTTTTGTATTTGATTTTATTCTGCTAGCGAATTGATAATTTTCGTTAACTAAAAGTTACAATTATCGAAAAAGAAAACATTCTATATGAAAAAAGAATAAAATTAGTTTTTTGGAGCTCTTATAATGTGCATAAACTCCGACTACGATTGATTCGTAGTTGGGTTTTAGAGTTCGATGCAAATCTCTAGTAGAGACATATGTAATACCTATTTGTATTAAGTGGCGAGTTCACGTTTTTAAAATCAACTTTTTTATAATGCCGTTCTAAGATGAGGAAATATGTTGGGGTAAATTCATCTTCACACCGCCCGGTTTTGGTCTCTGATCTAAGCTTATCTTTCTCTAGTACTGTGGATTATTGATTGACCAGTCGTTATCAGTAGACCAGCCCATCCGGTTCGGTCTGACCTTTTGAGATCGATATTGGTACCGATCTTCAAAAATTCAGACCGGTTCCATCTCTGGATAGAACGGTAACAACATGCCTATTAAATGAATCAAATCCGAGTTAAAGCTTATCATATGAATGTTTCGAGGTAGGTCTCTGATGAGAATTTCATTTACAATGGTATTGTTTCATTTAAGCTTTCATGCATTCGATTATTTCTAAGAAGTTCTCTATATTTTTGTTTAAAACATCCTATTCCTATCGTTCCACCTTCTCATTCAGTATATTTTATGTTCCAAAACATTGATACAACTTGAATAAACTAGCACGAAGTACAAATGACATTCCCGAGTTCTATGTTTTACTTGATGATATTACGTGTGATATATGTTTTGCAGATGATGATTGGTGTTGACTTTGCTGAAATCGACAAAACCAAAAGATATCAACTTCTTTGCAGTGCCATCGTTCCTCGACCGATTGCTTTTATCAGCACTATTGATAGTAAAACAGGTGAGATATATTAATGTTCTTTTTCGATTTCTCTATTCTATTCTTCTCTTCTATTTCCATTTTTAGCAATAAAAAACCTGGCTCCATTATCATTTTATAATTGTGTTACTAGTGAACCACCTACCGTTATGTTTTCTTTAACCCGAAAACGTGATGGAGGTAAGAAGGATACATTGATTAATATCGAAAATGAAAAGGAGTTCGTAATTAATCATGTAACAAAGGAAATATTCCCGCAAGTGTTTGATGCATCTGCTGAAATCCCAGCAGATCAAGATGAGTTCGATGTAGTTGGTCTAACTGCAGTAGCCGGTGTCAAGGTAAAATCACCAAGAGTAAAAGAATCCCCTATTCAAATGGAATGTGAACTTTACAATTCTATGGAAATCGGAGATGGAAACTATGGTAGCGCAACAATAATAGTTGGCAAAGTACTTTATATGCATATCGATGAATCATTATATCAAAATGGAATGTTAAATACATCGTCTATTACAACTATTTCAAGATTAGGCAATATGAGTTATGGTTACGCTGAACATAAATTTGATATTGAAAGTGACATCTGGAATGTATCTAAATGGTAACTCTAATGGTTAAATTTATGATCTCCCTATTGAACAATACGACTTTTTTAGCGTTTCAGAACTATTATGGAATTCTAAAATAAATGAATTATTAAACAAAAGCTCGGTTCTATTAAATTGTCCTAATTAGATCGATCGTAGTTAAAAAACTACACACAGCTAATTGAAGTGAAGTTACCGAAGGGATGGAAGGCTAAACTCTTCTCCATTGATAGACTGAGCTCTACAACCAAAAGGTTGAAATTCCAGTTCTAACATATTCCACCTCTTGCAACCGCCAGAAAATAAATAAAACTACACTAAACCTGCATCTCTATCTATAGTGAATAGAAAAAAAGGAACTGAAAGCGATGTCTTCAATCACTGTAGTTAAAAACTTGATCTTTTCTGTGGTTATACTTCGCACTCAATGCTGATTTTTTTGGTGCTGATAGAGCATCGTGCATTCGTAAAACTTTTGAAAATAACATATTTTAATGAACTTTTCAGCAAAGCTCCGCACTTGTCTTAAGATCATGTTGAAATTTGACTTCTGAGTTTCCATGTGAACCTTTGTACAACTAATATTCTCAATGGAATTTGTTCATTCTTCAAACTTCAGCGTTTTTCGTCGCTTCTGCGGTTAGAAGACCATAGGAACAATTTTGCTGCTCAAATAATGAAATTTTGAATATGAATATCTCATAAAAGAAGTAGCATAAGAAGCTGAGATTTTGACAATGAACAAGTTCTATTAAGAATATTAATGGTGCTAAGTTTAACATCAAAACCCAAAAGTCAACTTTCAACTTGATCTAATGGAAACTATTGAATATTGTTGAAGGACTTCAATAAAAATTCGGTACTATAGAAAAGAAGACATGAAAAAACAGATTATTTCAAACTTTTTCACAACTCACCAACACTTATGGAATAACAACGGGTCTGATGAAGAAAATATTTGACATCTGAAGAAGCTTTCTCATAGCGTATCAACTCGTCTCGATGAGAGCCACGCATTCGAAAGCTACCTACGGATTATGTTCAGAAACAAATAATCGATGTAGAAGTTATAAAATGTATATATTTGAGCTTGTTTTGCCTATTGAAAACTTGATCGATCTGAACGATAACAAATTATGACACAAGACACTCTGAATGGATTTTTGGGTGGATGTGAGTGTGGGCGTTCTGTTTAGACCAACAGAAAAAAAGGGGGATAAGAATTGCAGGGTCTGTAAACTGTCGTAAATTTTCGTTTTGAAAGAGACTGCTTTTGTTATATATGCTTATTTCTTGCGTCTTTCACAAAGACTAATAATTCGCTCGATTAGCTGACGATCGACCGTATGAATCGTTCTATAATTCTGTGTAGACAGAGTTACGAAGCTATTATCAGTTCGTTTCCTAGCAACTATCCTGGTATTGTATGAATGATACGCACATAAAAAAGCATGCAAATGATCACTATGTGCGTTGTTTAATCATAACATTGCATTCAAAAGAAGCATGAGGCAAACTAAACTAGACGAATTGATCCAAGAAGCATTGAATAAGTTGAGCAAACCATTCACCATTATTGATTCAATGAATGAATGGAATACCGAAATGTTCACTTTTATCAATAACATTACCGTATGGAAATTGTCGTCTTCTTTATGAAGCTATTATGTAAAAGCGTCATCAGGACGAGATAACAGATAAAAACCAGCAAGAAGAAGTTGACGTCATTTTGGAATGGCTTGACCACTCGTTACCAGAGGAAACGCACATCTTGATCCTGTAGAGTGGTCATCGACTCGAGGTGTAGCACACAATTTACTTGATTCATTGTTAAACTATATTCAATGTATACGAGATCGTCCGGTTGGGCAACCCGTTTCTGAGTGATGTACGCATGATACTCCAAAATGAAGCACTTCTAGAACAAGGCCAAACATTATCAAATGTCTGTCGACACATAATTACTTAAATGTTGCCTTACTTCTTAAGCAATGCGCATCCTCGGTTTTGGACTTGAATCGTAGGCGAAGGAACCCTGGCTAGTGCACTTGCTGTTTTGATCACCACAACAACGAACTCAATGACTGGTGATGCTACTCACAATGCTACAGTAGACGAACGAACAGGCATTGAATGGATGCGTCAACTATTTAGTTATCGAGAAGGAAGGGCTAGTAGTCTTATTAGAAGTAGAACATCAAAGGCAGCAGTAACAAGTTTAGCAACGGCTTGCCAAAAAGTACTAGCAAATATACGAACAGTTGAACTTATCGATAGATCGAAATTGGTAGTTTATGCATCAACAGCAGTTCGTATGTGTTGTGAGAGCATTTGAATTATTAGGCCTTGGGGCGAGCGTCTTACGGCGTATGTCGATTGATGAAAATTTTTCTATCAACATCGATGAACTGAAGGCATGTATTCAAACTGATCGTGATATTGGATTTTTTCCATTCTATACAATCGGAAACGCTGGTTTGTCTGGTAGAGATCTGAGAGAAAAACTTACTCAGGTTTTAAATCCGTCTTGGAATAACACAATAGTTTGACGAAAGAAAGAATGACATGTGAATAGAACCCTATGCTTGTCTTACTTATAACGCGTGGTTCTTAAAAGTGATAAAAAAACCGGATCACCAATCTTCTCTGCCGAGGATCAAGAGGAATTTATGATTGCTGCCTTGTCTTTCTCAAACAAAACATCTAGTCGAGCTATATTGAAATTAGAAATATTCGGTTAAATCGTTTTATCTAGGGAGAAAACGAATTAAAGCACGCATATAGAATCCTTTCTAGGCCTCATACGAAGTATGTTCAGAATTCTTCGACATTCTTCCTTAAACACTACGATCAGCAAGAGTGGGGGACAGTGGCGTAGCCAAACATTTTTCAGTAGTGAGTCATTTATTCCGTTACATCAGTTGATGTTTTATAAAGAAAGGCATTCATATGCCTAAATAATGAACGTGCGTGATCACTTTTATTTGTAGCAGGGAGAGGGAGACATACAGTATGAGATTTTTAGTATTTCGCATTCTAAGTTGACTTTCTTCTCAATCGTTAGAACCGATTGTTTTCCTAGATGATCTGTCTGTCAAATTCTCAACAGAAATTCGATTACACCTATTGCTATAGAAAATCAAGTAGAAGTCTAACCGAAGAGCATTCAGCCCGTAGAAATGAGCTGACTCTTTACGCTATTTCATTTTTAAAACTTAAGAATACTGTAAATAACCCTAAAAATCATGAAACGAAAGTTAAGATGTTTTCGAGTGCTTTCGAATTTGCTCCTTCTCGTCATACATTTTAAACTTCGTTGAAATCAAGATAAATATTGAAAAATTGAATAGTCTGAAAGAATTAGTTAAAAATGATAAAGATGGGTACCGGTGTGGATATCAGCTTGTCCAGCTAACGGTGGCCCAGCATGGCCAAAGTTGAACTTCATATTTCTCGAATTTAAACATGATCAGTTTGTACAGGACATTTAACTGTATAAGGGTATGAGTCTTGTTTTTCCATTTACTCTATCTGATAACAAGAACGAGAGACCGAAACATAAGGTATGATTTAATTGTATTATTATATATTTTAACAGTGCAAAGGAAAAAGTTCTCAGTAGATGTTGTGAAATGTTTTATGAGACAGCTATGGTATGGAAAGCATCACTAATAGATCAACGTTATATTAGGACGTCTAATAAAATGTCATCTTCTTTTTTAGTTTAAAAAAGTCGTATCACAAAACTTGACCAAAAGAGAGGTGAGTGCGTTACCATTTTTTAGAGGGTTTTGTCAGATTTATCCTTCTACTACGTAAAACATTTTTAATGGGAGCTATTTATTTTTAGGTAATTTTGACGGACTATCATATGCACCTTTCAGAACTTTTCATAATCATGTCCCTTAGGACAATAAATGGTAACGCACTCATGCGACCTTTATACATGTAACAGTTAATTAGACTATTGATCATGAAATATGAGCTCGGTTCTGTCCTCGTTTAATATGGATACTAACGCAAGGTCTACTACAATTTACCTAGTTTTGTTTTGCAGAAGTATGGTATATATGGACAGTGAATTAGCCAGTGTTTTCCGAGTCATGTTCCTGATGAAAGTTTCTTTATTGTCATATTCTTTGCTCTTTGTACTAAACTAGCGGACGATATGGCCTCCACTACATGACGTAAATGAATTACAAAGTAATTCAAATAAAAATGAGCTCCAAAATAATTCAGTTTCTATTAGTTTCCACCAGGGATTAGAAGGTACTACAGATTAGATGCGTTTTACGGCTTTCCTGGAAATCCAATTAAATCCAGAGATGCAAGATACAGAGATATAGACGACATAGAGATATATTCTCAACTCTTAACAATTAACGTTAGTTTTTCCGAGTTACTCATTTTTTATCCTTGCTCATATGCCAGTAGCATTTTATTAATCATAAAATATTGAATAAATAATAAATCACCATTTAGAATTATGAAGAAACAAATTTGAACATCTTCTATATCTCTATATCTCGCACCTTTCGGTTTAATTGGATTCCTAGGAAAGCCGTAAAACTCATTTAATCTGTAACCCGTAGTAATTCCTTCTAATACCTGGTAATTCCTGGTTAGTACTTTTGGACTCTGATTCTCAGTAATGGACCAAGTCAATAGAATTAATAATAGAATTCGTATTGAAGCTGCAACTGAGAATCGATATAAATCTGAATTATATCATAATTCATTTACGTCATGGACTTATTATTTGTGAGGTTGGATTCAGAAACCCAGATTGGTTTTATTTGTTCATTACCACACGCGTTTCTTCACTCAGAAGTTGTTTTCTCTGTGAATTCTTTTATCAAGTGTCTCTTTCTTGTCAGTCCGCCCGCGAAATATATCTTTTCCGTCTGTCGCGATACGCGATCGTTATTTTTCTATTATAATGAAAAAGTGTGTTTTTTTTAAAGACATGACAGAATTTCACTATAGAAATCGTTCTGACTTGCTCAGAAATTCTTTGA